TTTAAGAAAAGAGAGAGAGAGAGTACTACAGAACAATATTATTCATAAATATCAATACAAAATACTAAATGAAGTATTAGCAAACAGAAGCCACCCTATAGTAAGAAAATACTATATCATGAGCAAGGATGATTTATTCTAGAATTCAACATTGGTTCAATATTAGGAAATTCACTAATATCATATACTCATTAATTGATCTAAGAGAAAAAATATGATTATCTTCATAAATGCTGGGGAAAACAATATTTGACAAAATTCAACACTCATCCATGATTAACACATTAACTGCCATGTGAGCTGTATTTAACTCATGCTAGTTTTCAGCCCGGGGCCTTCTGAAGCATATATAACTCACATGTCTCTTTACCTTGGCAGCATATAAGTCATGCACAGAAAACAATAAAAAATAATAAATTTTTCATTAAATTAGAAGGATCATTTAGTTTTCAAAGTAATAAAACACTGTGGCCCCAAGGAAAAAAATTTTTTTCTAGTGTGACATTCAATGTGTTAAAACACTCAAGAAAATAGGAATTGAAGGATACTTTCTTAATGTGATAAAAGATATATATACCTAATCCTTAAGCCAGTATCTTATTTCTTAGGGACACATTAGAGGCATTTTCACTAAGATCAGTGTGTCAGGGGTCTCCAAAACCACATCCACATTTGGAGACTTGCTAGAATTATTCACGTCAGTCAGCATTTGGTTGTACACTTGACTGACATTCATTACAACAGTGTAGCAAAGACACACAGCAAGATTAGAAGGGGAGAAGACAGGTGGAGTCTATGTGGATATCCATGTGAGACTTCCCCATGCTCTCTCCCTCCCAGGAGGAGTGACACAGCACATACTCTTTCCCCAGCAATAAAAATGTAGCAACATGTGTATGATATTTCTTCCAGAGAAGCACATTACAGACTCAGGCTTTTATTGGGGGCTGATCACATGGACACCCTTTGCCTAGCACATACCAAAATTCCAGATTTCCAGAAAGCAATCAAATGTATAGCATAAACCAAATGTTTGCATACACAATCTAGGCACAGTAAACAACCCTTATCATTTAGGGAACTGTGGGAATATTCCTGAAATCTAAGTTCCCAGATGCCAGCCAAGGACCAACCTGACAAGCAGACCTTTCTAAAAATAGCAGTTTTAGGCTTGATGTGTTAACCCTTTACCTCTGCTACTACTGAACATAAGACAAGAGAGATCAACTAGACACATATTAACTTACAAAAATCAATGACCTTCATATACACAAAAAAGTAAACAATAGAGGACATATTGGTAAAGAAAACCACATGTATAATATCGATATAGATTAAATATTTTATAATACATTTAACAAGAAAAGTACAAAATTTATCAATAGGATTTGAAAACATTCCTAAAAGACACAGAAATAGATTTAATCAAATACAAAGACACATTCTATTCTCAGATTGGATGAATTAACATTATATAGATGAGAATTCTTTCTACGTTAATGTGTGAATTCAGTGCAATCTCAGTAAAAAATATCAGGAAGTTATTTTATAGACAAGTTAAACAAGTTGATACTGAAGTTTATATGCAAAAAGAAATATGCCAGAATATCCCAGAAATCACTGAAAAAGGAACACTACAAGCGGGAGGTGACTATCCCCACTATATATTAAAACATACTATGAATCCCCAGTTTGGTGCTGGCATATGAATAGACAAAATAGACCATGGAATAGAATAGAAAGTTGAGAAATAGGCCCACATGCATATGAAAGTTAATACATGATAAAAGTGGTATCTCAAATCACTGGAGGAAAACTGTCCTTTTTAATAAATGGTGCTGGGACAACCAGGTAGCCATTTGGAAAAATAAAATAAAATTAGATTCCACATTTCACACCATATGCAAGAAAAAACTGCAAATGAGTTAGGGATTTAAATGTAAAAAAATGATACCATGTAAGTAGTGGGTGATTTCCTCTTTAACCTTCATGTACATAAAGGCTTTCTAAATATAACTGACAATCCAGAGTCATAATTAATAAAGTTGATATATAAAAATGTTTGAAATTTATGTGACCAAAAATAAATAAAGATATACCATGCAAAGAACAAATTGGTAGGCATCAATTTACCAGATTTCAAGCTATACTACAAGGGTATAAAAACTAAAACAGCATGGTACTAGCACAAGAACAGAGACATAGACCAATGGAACAGAATTGAGAACCCAGATATAAAACCATCTTCATATCACCATCTGATCTTTGACAAAGCAGACAAAAACATACACTGGGGAAAAGAATCCTTATTCAATAAATGATGCTGGGAAAATTGGATAGCCACATGCAGAATATTGAAACTGGATCTGCACCTCTCACCTCTCACAAAAACCAACTCAGGGTGGATAACAGATTTAAACCTAAAGCATGAAACTATAAGAATTCTAGAAAAAAATGTTGGAAAAACTCTTACAGATATTGCCCTAGGGAAACAGAAACTTTTCAAAAGAAGACAGACTAATGGCGAAAAAACATATGAAAAAATGCTCAACATCTAATCATCAGAGAAATGCAAAACAAAACCACAATGAGATATCACTTATCTCCAGTGAGAATGGCCTTTATCAAAAAGTTCCAAAATGATAAATGTTGGCATGGATGCAGAGAAAGAGGAACACTCATACACTGCTGGTGGGACTGCAAACTAGTACAACCCCTGTGGAAAGTAATATGGAGATACCTCAAAGAGCTATAGGTAGAACTGCCATTTGATCCAGAAATCCCATTACTGAGCATCTACCCAAAAGAACAAAAGACATTCTATAAAAAAGACATCTGTTTATAGCAGCACAATTCACAATTGCAAAGATGTGGAAACACCCAAGTGCCCATCAATACATGAGTGGATTAATAAAATGTGGTATATGTACACCATGGAGTTCTATACAGTCACAAAAAACAATGGTGATATAGCACCTTTTATATTATCCTGGATAGAGCTGGATCCCATTCTACTAAGTGAAGTACCCCGAGAATGGAAAAACAAGCACCACATGTACCCACCATCAAATTGGTATTAACTGATCAACACTTAAGTGCACATATAGTAATAACATTCATCGGTTGGGTGTCGCACAGATCGGGGGGATGGGTATATACACACCTAATGGCTGCGGTGCGTACTATCTGGGGGATGGACACGCTTGAAGCTCTGACTCAGGTGGGGCAAAGGCAATATATGTAACCTAAACATTTGTATCCCCATAATATGCTGAAATAAAAAATTTTTCTTAAAAAATGTGAGCACACACATACATTAAAAAAATAAAAAATAAATTCTGGCGCTATTTTCTTCAAATCAACTTAATTCTGAGTCTCCTTAATAGCAGTGTTTAGGCTTCCATAAAAGAAAGGGAATTTCTGCTCAATTTTTCTGCATATCCAAAACTGCTCAAAAAATAAAGACTATTAATTAGGAATACAAAAGGAAAAATAGAAGGAGTTGTGTGGTTTAGGTTAGTCCAGATTGCTACCCAGCAGAAACCTCTGAGGCAAGAAAGCAGCATCTGACCCCTTGATGTAAATATGTGTGTGTTGGGCAGGCAGGTGTCTTTAGGAAAGAGAGATGAGATATTAATATGACATAAATATAATTGATCTACAATAATGATGCAAACACTCATGATACCATCATCACGACCAAGGTGCTAAACATATCCGTCACCTCCAAAAATGTCCTTCTGTTCTTCTGTGTTGTGTTGTTTTGTGGTAAGAACAGTTAACTTGAGATCTATCCTCTTAACATATTTTAAAGTGCTCAATACTGTATTGTTAAACTGTGCAGGTTCTGTATCAACAGCAAATCTCTAGAACTTTTTCATCCTGCATAATTGGAACTTTATACCCGTTAAGCAATAACTCCCATATATCCCTCGCCTGAGCCCCTGGAAGCCACCATCCTTTCCTCTGCTTTCATGAGACTGACCATCTTAGATAATTCACCATAAGTGGATACACTTCACCTCGTCTTTACTTACAATGGTCCGTATGGGCCAGTAGTTCTCCACTGGTGTCTCTCAAAATCACACAGGACCCTGCAACCACCCCTCCCAAAAAATATAGATGCCTTGAACCCCTGAATTATCAATCACAACCTCTCTGAAAGAGACCAGAATGTACGTGTTTTGGAAAATCTCCCCAGGCAACTGTGATGTGCAACACTGATTAAGAACCACTGAATTTGAACTGATGGGTTCTGATATGTAACTGCTCAGGCATAATCCCATGCAGTTGGGGCCACAGCTAAGAGGTCAAAAGGCTGATTGGCCAGAACTGGCACACCAGGCCTGTCCTCAGGCAAGGCCTGACCAGCTCTGGGGTGAAGGCCAGTGTTCAAAAGGACAAAGCACATGTCTCCAGGGCCAGATGTCCTCCAGAGGCAGAAGCCGGGTGCCCTGTCACCAGTGTGTTAAGCTTGGAAGGCTGACGGAAGGAGCTGGGAAGGCTCTGAAGAAACAGGTGGAGAAAGCAATGAGACCCACACGTGGCAGTAGAGGCATCCCTAGTGAAAACTAGCTGCCCCCACCCCAAACTGTATCAGCTGAGCATCTCAGAAAGACCAGGCAGCAGGTCGGGGCTCCGCCATACACACCCTTGCCGCATCCCATCAACATGCACCCTTGTCTTTCCAAAGCATTTCTTTTGTTTTCAGACACTTAATTACAATTGATAAAGGCAGACAAAAAAAAAAAAAAGTTTACAAGCCACAAAGATAACTCAAGATAAAAAAAAGCAATCAAACAGACAATTTTAGGGAAATATTTAGATGGCTGAGGTAAAAAGTTGGTTAACTTGAAATAGTCTAATCGCAACCTCCATCATTTTGCACTTACGGAATATGTGGAGAGACTTATAGACTTAGGCTTTCTTCATTCACTAAATAACACATAAAATACGACTATCAAGTAAAAGACCATAATGCAAAAGTTCTAAAATCTTACCTCCATCAGAACAAAGAGCGCTGCAAAGAATAGAAGGGTTGCCCATTCCACTCTGTGTAGAATTATCTCAAAATCATGAATATCAGCTAATATTAGCAACCAGATGGCACCCAGAATAGCAATCCACCCTGAAAAATAAGTAAAGGGACATACAGATATAGTTCAATTGTTAACATGCCAATTAATTTTTTATCTTCTGATTGCTTTTTTCTTTATTGAGGATAATTGATATACTACAAACTGCATATATTTAAAAAGTATAATTTCCATTTGGGCTTATGTGTATGCTCATAAAACCAACACTACAATCAAGATAATGAACTTACCTATCACCCCAAGAAGTTTCTTCATGCCATGTTCTTGTATCCCTTCTGGCTCCTCTTGTCACCCCCACACACTCCCAGTAAACCATTCATCTCTTTTCTTTCTCTATAGATTAGTTTACATTTTCTCTATTTTCTATAAGTGAAGATTTTCTATAAATCATATAGACATAATTTTTGTCTGACTGCTTCTCAATGGACAGATCATCCAGACAAAAAATCAATATTCGGCATAATCATTTTAAGATCCTTCGATGTTGATGTGTGGATCAATATCATTCCCTTTTTTATTGTTTAACAGTATGCCATTGTATGGATATGCTACAACACACATACCATTCACCTATTAACGAACATTTGGATTGTCTCCATTTTTCTGGTTATTTCAAATGAACATGCATGAACATTTATTCATATACAATTCTTTACATGTACATAAGCTTTCAGTTCCCTTGAAATACCTAGGAATGGGATGGTTGAACCATATGATAAGTTAATATTACAGAATGTTATATGGAACATTTATGGTTTAAGAAACCTCAAACTATTTTCCAAAATGGTTGTACCATTTTACAATGCTACCAGCAGTGTATGAGAATTCTAGTTTCTCCACATCTTCACCAAGACTTGGTCAGCTTTTTTGATTTTAGATATTCTAATGGGTGTGAAGTGGTATCTTATTGTGGTTTCAAATTACATTTCCCTAGTGACTAATGATATTGAACAACTATTCATGTACTTATTTGCCATCCATGTATCTTCTTTCACAAAGTTTTTGTTCAAATAGTCTGTTTATTTTTTTTTCTTACTGGGTAGAGCAAATGAAACCCAAAACAAGTAGAAGAAAACAAATAATAAAGATTGGAGCAGGAACCCATGAACTAGAAAATGGAAAAATATTAGAAAAAAGCAATGATACCAAAACCTTGTTCTTTGAGAAGATTGGTAAGATTGATAAACTTTTAGGACAAAATGTGAGAAAACAAAATTGTTAATAATAAAATCAGTGACATGACTATAGATTCTATAGATACAAAAAGTATACAGTTTTCTATAGCTGCCATAACAAATTATAATAACATAGTGGCTTAAAATAGCACCTATTTATTATATCACAGTTTTCATAGGTCAGAGTATGGTGGGTTCATAGCAGGGTGTCTGATTAGAGTCTCATAAAGCCAAGTCAAGGTGTTGGCAGGGCCACATTCCTTTTTGGAAGCTCTGGAAGAGAATCTGTTTCCTTGCTCACTCAGGTTGTTGACATAATTCAATTCCTTACAACTGTAAAACTACAGTCCCCATTTCCTTGCTGGTTGTCACCCAAAAGCTGTTCTCAGCTTCTAAAGGCCACTCACAATCCTGGCTCATGTCCCCTTCCTCCACCTCCAAAGCCAGCAAGGGTGAGTTGAGTCCCTGTCACACTTCAAATCTCTCCTGCCTCTTCTGCTACATCTCTCTAATGGACTCTTACACTTCCTCTTCCATTTTTAGGTCTGTGTAATTTCACTGGGTCTACCTGGATAATCCAGAAAAATCTCCCTCTATTAAGGTTTATAACCTAAATTCTACCTGCAAAGTTCCTTTGCTATGTAACATACACAGGCATTACCACCAGGAATTGGAGTGTGGGAAATTTTGGCTGGGGGGGGGGCGGGTAATTAATTTGGGAAGAATTAGCATTTTAAAAATATATTATAAAATCTTTTAACCTGTGAACACAGTATATATCTCCATTTATTACATCTTCTTTAGTTTTTGCTGAGAATGTTTTGTAGAAATGCAAGCAATCTTCTCTGCAGAAATTAACAAACTGTTTCTAAAATTCATATAAGAATGCAAAGGACTTAGAATAGCCTACACAACTTTGAAAAAAAAGAATAAAGTTGGAGAGTATACATCATCTCACTTTAAGATTTATTATAAAGCAACAATAATAAAAACAGTGTGGTATTACACCAAGACAAATTCATAAATGGAAAGTCCAGAAATATATCCACACATTCATGATCAATTGATTTTTGACAAGGGTTCAATAGTTTAGTGAAGGAGTAGTCTTTTCCACATATGGTGCTGGAACAATTGGATATCCATATGCACAAGAAATTTTACTTTGATCTGTTCATTAATCATATACAAAATTTAATGCAAATGGATCATAGGCCTAAATGTATTATAAAACATAACTGTAAAACTTCCAGAAGAAAACATAGGAAAAAATTCTCTGTCACCTTGGGTTGTGCAAATATTTCTTAGATACAACATTAAAAGCATGATCTGTAAAAGGAAAAACTTGATATTAATTGGACTTGATCAAAATTATAAATTTCTGCTCTTCAAAAGGTGCTGTTAAGTAAAAGTAGAGACAAGCCAAAAACTGGGAGAAAATATTTGCAAATAATCTATCTGATAAAAGACTTGTATCTAGAATATATGTTTTAAAGATTCTCAAAATTCAACAATAAATAAACAAACAACCCAGTTAAAATGGGGAATATTTTGAACAGACACTTTAACAAAGAGCATATGAGCACATGAAAACATTCTCAAACATCACTATTCATTAGAAAAATGCAAAGTAAAACCAAAATGACATTTTACTATATACCTTAGAATATATAAAACTAAAAACACTGACCAAACTAAGTGTTGACAAGGATATGAAGGAACCAGAACTTTCATACACTGTTGGTGGGATTGCAAACTGGTACAACCATTTTGGAAAACAGTTTGGCAGTTTTTAAAAACATTATCCATAAACCTACCATATGACCCAATTGTACTTTTAGGTATTTATCCAAGAGAAATTAAAGCATGTGGTGATACAAAGAATCAAATGCAATGTTTATTGTAGTTTTAGTTTTGATAGCCAAAAACTGGAAACAATCCAAATATCCATCAATAGGTGAATGTATGTACCCAAAAAAATTGCATCATATTCAAACCATCAAATAATACTCAGCAATAAAAAGAAATGAACTAATCATGTACACAAGCACATGGATAAATCTCATAATAATTATGCTGAATGAAAGAAGCCAGACCAAAAAATGTTACATATTAAATGATTCTTTTATATAAACCTCTAAAAGATGCAAATAGCAGGGTGTGACAAATTTCACCCCGCGGGTCAAAACTGCCCCTCTGCCTGTTCTTGTAAATAAAATTTTATTAAAACACATCCACAGCCATTGATTTACATATTTCCTATGACTCCCCTACCACTACAACAGCAGTGTTCAGTATTTGTGACAGAGCATGTATGGCCTACAAAGCCTCAAATGCTTACTATCTGCCCCTTTACAAAAAAACTTGCAATCTACAGTGACAGAAAACAGATCAAAGATTGTCTGGGGACAGAGATGCTGGAAGGTCAGCAGAAAGCCAGCAGAAAGCCACACAAGGAGACTTTTGACTGTGACGCCTGTGTGCTGCTCTTCTTCACGGGGAGGGGGCAAACATGTCATCTCTAAACATGCTGGGTCTGATGCCAACTCTAAGGTTCGTTGAATTTATTAGAATATTTCTGCTTTCTCTAGTAAACGTTTCATGCAAGATGTACTTAGAATACTAAAAGTTAAAAAACTCGGGCATTATCAAATTCACTAGACAGCTTGCACAAACTTTATACCTGCTTATAAGTAAGTGTGTATCTGATAGATATTTACATGTGTGGCTTTCATAAAATCATTACAGAGCTAGCCATCTCACACCTTCAAGATTCAGAGGCTAAAGTCAGAGTTCATCAAAAAGATGCGGGAACTCCCCAAGACCAAAGTAGATCAGGCCAGTTTGTAATTGGGAAAAGCAAAAAACTGTTTAGTTGTTTTTTAAAAAAAAAAAATGGCACTGAGGTCTCAATTGCTTATGTATTTGAGGGAAAAAAAATCTCTTAAATAATAAAAATTATTTGAGTGAATGAAGTTTCTTGTTAACCAAAATTCTTGACAATTCTATACCTTGTGTTTTTAAAAAATATATATTAATAAAAAGTATATGTGCTGATTGCTTAAATTATTTCTATTATCCTTACTCTACCTTTGAGGGCTTAAATATAGATTATTTTCTGGAAAACAATGACAGTTAATTGCATGTGACCTATAAAATTTAAAGATATATCCAGACCACCCCCACATCTCCTATTATCCCTCTTTATTTCTGTTTTCCAAAGTGTACCCAATTCTCTACTCTTGCAAGACCAATCTTCTCACAATGTCGGGAAAAATTCCCAATCATCTGGTCCTCACTGAGCATCCCCTTAATCTGAACTGTTTTATATGCCACTTTTGGACGCCTGCTCTGTGCCAGCCTCTGAGCTTAAGGGATATGGATGGGAATGTAAGCAAGACACCACCATAAAGTTCAAGGGGCTCACCATCTGGTGGAAAGCACGTGCACATAAGGAAAGTTATACAGGATATAACAGAGCTGCACATGTACACCCAGAAAGAGTAACAAAACATGGGGATTGAGAGAAGTTTCCACCAAGAGGCTGGTATTCAAGATCCTAGAGGAGAAATATAATTTTTCAGGTAAAGAGGGAAGGAAGCATTCCAATACAAAGGTAACAGCATATCAAAGAACAGAGCATCAAGAAGGAAGCATCAGAGTGATACCAGCAACATGGTGGAATAGGCAGTTCTAAGCTCTTGTCCTCATATAGAAATAAGGAGAAACTGTTAAAACCAACTTTGTCAGAATTCTAAAAAACAGTGAAAGGTTTACAGCAACCAAGCAAACATGAGATCAAGAAAAAGCCAACTTCAGATGGCAGGAAGGCCTTGTAGCATTTTGCTTGCCTGTGCCCC